GGCAGTAATGCAGTACGTTCAGTTCACGTTCGCCCAAAATATGAACGAGTTCATGAACTTTCGTTCAATGAACGCGTTCAGGCACAACACTGCCGATACCGCACCGTGACGTCACAAACCAGTAGGTGGCAGTAGTGTTCTTTGACAAACATGGATGCCTCCAGTAAAGCACATTCAAATGAAAATTCCTCTGAATTTGGGTTTGGGTATTTTGTTCTCTGCCTCGTGGAGTTTCTGTGTGTTGGATGTTTTATTTCCTCTCTGTTTATGGTGTGTTTGTTTGTCTCCAGGCCAGGATAGCGTTCCTGCAGGGGGAGAGGAAGGGCCAGGAGAACCTGAAGAACGATCTGGTCAGAAGAATAAAAATGTTAGAATACGCTTTAAAGCAGGAAAGGTAAGAAACATAACGGTATTTCTGGTTGCCATCCTTCGCTGATTGTGAAAGACGTTGGGTGTTAGGGTTATACTGCTGTTTGCAACCAAAACTAGACGCTGTTACACAACCGCAGACGGGGTCATTTCAGTGGTGGCTAGTGGAGTTTTCTCCAGGGGGCGCTATAACTTCTAAACAGATGTATGCCAAAAACCAATCAAATGCACTAAGGTGTCACACCTGTATATTTATATGAATACCAACAGCAACAAAAAAAAAACATTATAAAATGCTAAGCTAACTGCATGCAGTTAGCCTCGCTGCATGCAGTTAGCCTCGCTGCATGCAGTTAGCCTCTCTGCATGCAGTTAGCCTCGCTGCATGCAGTTAGCCTCGCTGCATGCAGTTAGCCTCGCTGCATGCAGTTTGCCTCGCTGCATGCAGTTAGCCTCGCTGCATGCAGTTAGCTTAGCTGCATGCAGTTTGCCTCGCTGCAGCCTTTTAATACAAACATTTTAGATCCATTTGAGGTTCTGCACTTAATGAGGACTGTTAAAGGTTTTTATTGACTTGTTTTTAAGCTGATGAAGATCCTCAGTCACCCCGGTCATAGTCATTCCAAAAAAGTTTAAAAAAGTCAGAAAAACAATTGACTTTGTTTTCCGTTTCACATTTCAAAATGTCCGAATTAGCTTTGAGTTCCAAGCTTTATAGAGTAGTCCAACAAAGCCTTGTTTTGGCCTAGAAAACGTGCAAACAGGTCCACCCCTTAGTAATGGAGAGTCGTTGAGGTCTTTGTTAGCCTGCAAAACCCAATACTGGTCTATGCAGAAATCTATTGTGATTCCTATCACTAAAGTCTTCTAGCTGTTTTATTCCTTTGCCTGGTGGAATAATCCTGAAATCCTTCCAACTCTACAGCATCCGTTTGAAAATATGACAATCTGCCTGCATCAATATGGAGATGTTGTCTTCAGGCTAAAGAAAGATCGATTAATTAAAGTTGTTTCTGTTTCTCCTCTTCAGAGCAAAATACCACAAATTAAAATATGGAACGGAGTTAAACCAAGGAGAAATGAAGATGCCGATCTTTGAATCAGGTAGGTGTTCCAGGAAGGAGCTCCAGGTGTGTGATGAGGCTGGATTAGCGCTCAGCTTGTCTCTCTTCTCTCCTTAAAGACACCAAAGAGTCGGAGGTGTCTGCTGTCCCTGCTAACAGCCAGCTAATGTGGAAACAAGGACGGCAGCTGCTCAGACAGTAAGGCCTCCTGCTCAGGATGAAAGGAGCTGTTTCTGACTGTGCAGATGTCTCTCCACCTCACTCTGAAGCCAAATGTGTCGTTTTTAGGTACCTTCAGGAAGTCGGATACACGGACACCATCTTGGATGTCCGCACTCAGAGGGTTCGCTCTCTGCTTGGCCTGTCGGGCTCCGAGCAGAACGGGTCGGTGGAGAATAAGAACCTGCAGCACCTGATCAACGGAACGGAGCGCTGTAAAGACGCCAAGAGGTAAACACGCAGACGGACGCCGCTGCGTCACCCGATCCTCATTAGGACTTTCCACTGGCATGCACAGATGTTCTTAGTTTGGAAAAATGGCGCCGTAAACGTTGCATGGAGCCGGCAAGAGCCAAACGCCGTCTGATGCTGACATTTAATGATGATCCACAGCTAGCGATGCTACATTGGTGTGGGTTAGGGTGGGGGTGGGGGTGGGGGGTTATATGACAGTTTGCAGATGAACTAAGATTTACATTTAAAATATGAAAAAACCCAAATCTATTATATATAATCTTATAATCTTATTTTCAGGTTTAAAAACTCTGGTTCCACAGACAGATCGTCTTATTTTCTTGCCCACATTAGGGGCGAATAGTTATTTTAAGGAAATTTTACATATTTTCAGATCATTTCTTTTTCAGTCCAAGATGTCTGTCAGTAAACAGAAATAAAAAATGCATTTTATTCTACACGCCCCACCTTAACTGAACACTAGAGCATTATTAGAGTTATTTTTTACGATTTGTTATGGCCCTATGTTTGCTTTTAAATGTTAAACAGCCAAACAGTAACTTGTGTTTTCTAGTTGATGTGATCAGGGATTCCCTGACAGGAACCGTTACAGCATCTATGAGACGCTTTCAATCATTTCTTTTTCTCTAATTTAATTGCATTTTAAAGCGTTTATTGGTGCCTGGTAGAGGCCATAAAAGATGTGAACTAACTGGTTGGTGAAGGAGGATAGCTGGCCCTTCAAGAGGGCAATGCTGTAAGGAGGCGGGGCTACAGGTCTAATGGAACAACATTACACTAATCTAGGCTCTTGGTTTGATAGGATTTTAAATTCAAAAATTTTCGACCAAAAACTAAAAAAAAAAGGGAATGATTTCAGGAGGGCTCTTTTTTCTGTCCATAGGGGAAAAGGTCGGGTGCTCTAGCACCACCTTGTGTCTATCTGAGACTGTCCAATTAACATCCCTTCATCTCTATGGCGTAACAATAACCCCACGCTAAACCGAACCCAATTTAAATCACACCTTAGACCTAAACATCACCTCCACCGCTAGAAGAGAGAGAAGAAAAACATGGCCGCCATCCTGGGGGCCGGTTACGGAGCTGAGTGGTTCACCTGTCTCCTCTCTGCAGGATCCCGAATGACAACCTGGAGACGTTCAACTTCCTGGAAAACGCAGATGACAGCGACGAGGAGGAGGATGAGGAAGGAGATCTGATGGATGACATCAGCTCAGACAAACACAGAACTAAAAAACACAAGACTAATGTAAGGCAACTAACATTGCCCCCCCCCCCCCCCCCCCCAAATCAAAGCAGTTCTCCACCTTCTTCTTCTTCTCTCCCTTTAATTGCGTAGATGGGAAATGAGGGCCTGGCATCAGAGGATGATGCGGACACAGAGGAGGCCCTCAAGGAGTTTGACTTCCTGGTAACTGCAGAGGATGGAGAGGGAGCAGGGGAGGCCCGCAGCTCTGGAGACGGGACGGAGTGGGGTGAGTCGGCCTCCAGCCGGTTTCCATCGCAGACTTCAGATCCTGGTGACTAACGTTTCATAGCTTCATGTGCCGTGAGGGAAACCCGACCTTTGTCCTGACGGTGGGCTCTGTAAAGCCGCCTTTAAAGCAAATAAAGGACCATTCAGCAAAACTTTTATTCCTGATCCGTTTCTCTGCTCTGAAGCATCAATTATCCAGCACTGTGGAACGGTTACCTACCAACCAAGAAGTCACACAGTCGCAGTTTTATTCTATTTCCCTTATCTGTGGTTCCCAACAAAGTTCTTTTCCCGTTAGCCGTCGTGGGCGTGGCTTTCCTCCGGCGGTCTCTCATTCAAACAGCAAACAGACTTAGAGGGTCCAGATCAGTCATAATTAAACTCGGCCCTAAAAAGACGGTTTCTGGTTTCAGATTTAGTTTAATGGCTGAAAGATGCAGGTATTATGAACCAACCATCTCCTCTGTTTCCCCATTAATGAGGTTTTTTCTCTTTGCAGCGGAACCTCTGCCCTTCCCCTCCGGTGGGGGGAAGTCCTTCTTATTGGGCGGGCCGGACGATGTTCTGGAAAGTGTTTTGGGTCTGGGTGACCTGGCCGACCTCACCGTCACCAACGATGAGACGGACTTTGGCTACGATGTAAGGCGTCTTCCTGTTTCTGTACCGGAAGGGAAGCTAAAAACTGACGCTGTCCTCATGTGTCCCTGCTAGCTGTCCTCCGCCAAAGAGTCCGCGTTCAGGAAAACCTGGAACCCCAAGTACACGCTGCGGAGCCACTTTGACGGCGTCCGAGCGCTGGCGTTCCACCCGGTGGAGCCCTGCCTGGTCACCGTGTCTGAGGACCACACCCTCAAGCTGTGGAACCTCACGAAGACCGTCCCGGCCAAAAAGTATGCTGACTCAGCACTTTGCTGAAACCTAAACTTCCTGTTTTTCTGTGATTCCCTGCAGACTAGCATTGATTGGTTGCTCACACTGATCTGATGACTTTACTTATCTACATGTCTCTACTTCCTCTCAACTTTCCACTGTTCTTCTTTGATACGTGGCGTCAATGTTTTTCTCTATGGGTTGTTTGTGACGCCCGCTTTGGCTTCATTAGCGAGGAGCATTAATCATCATATATCAGTGAGTTTCTGAACTAAAGTCATTTACAGGAAAGCGACAAACATTCCTGTGGTTTATTTAAACCTCCGTATGCGACATTCACACCAGCAGAAGCAGCTGCTTTAAATGTAAACTCTATGGTTGACGCGCATCAGAAGGTCCTGCAGCGCATCCAGAGCAGCAGGAGCGGCGCCTCATGAGCTTCTGAGGCGCGCGACGCGTTTCAGAAGGAAAGTTGGAAACATTGACCTTAAGCTGCTGGACATCAACCAATGAGAGAAGCTGATCTGGGAGCTGGCAGGGAGTCAGACGCAGCACTGCTGATGCAGAGCGCTATGATCACTCCTCTGAAACAGTTTATTAACGCCTAAATTAACTTCAAATGTAGAAACCTGCCGGCAGAATATGTTGGCTTTTATTATCCTGCTGCCTGCAGTTTGCATCAAAGCGCCTTCCAGCCGCCGCGGCAAACTGCGAAGAGACAACCGGGCCAGAGGCTGCTGTTGGATGGGACTGACAGCGCAGCGCCGGTATGTGGGGGTCTGAGCGGCTCCCACAGAGAAATAATCTTTGAAGGCAGGATGGTAATCTGGATGAACTGACTGCACAGACCATGTTTTCAGGAGGACTTTCTCACTTCAACATAGATTCTAACTACTTTCTACCCGCTGATCACAGCTAATATAGCAAAGCTGCTCTCTGGCATCGAACACAGGAGCATCAGAAGCATCTGGACTCACTTTACTGGACGTCTGACCTTAATGTGGATCAGAGATGAAGCAGCTGAAGCTGAAATTGCGTTTTGTTTGAACGTAGCATAAAAGCTAAACAGGTTTTAATCAATGAAACTTTAAATGACCTCATAATTATGTTCCCGTTATCTTTCATTGTCTCAACTATCAGAAGCTCTACGTATAAAAAGTCACTCCTCTGTAACTGGTTGGTCATAAAAATGAGTCTTATTCATGGATAACTCTCAGTTCTCCTTCTCTACAGTCTCTCAGGGAAGCAGAAGATAAAATTATCTTTCTATTTTGTTTTACTGGAGTTTGGTTCAGCAGCACGATGAGTCATAAATGTTTCTGATGAAATTAAAACGAAACTTGGAACAAAAACTCAGGAAACAGTCTTTGACTGGTGGCTTTGTGCGATGGTGAATCTTCCGCTGTTAGAAAGTTCCTCATTCGTAGGAAAACACATCATCTCCTCTGCTGGTTGGTGGAGGAAGTGTGATGGTTTGTGGCTGACTCTCTCTCACTGAAAAAACCAGGCTTGGTTTCATTGAGAAGCTCGATTCCATTGGAGATCAGCTTTGATTTGCTTTGGTTGATCTGCATTAAATGAACGTTTCCTGTGTAAAGAAAACCAGCTGACACAATCTGCAGGATTCAGTCCTCCTGGAAGAGCAGGTAGAGACGGTAGATGTTGACTAATCCCTCAAATCGAGCATGCACAGAGCGACAGTGGAGAGGAAAACTCTGTTTGAACCGAAGAAACTTCCAGCAGAAAGAGAACCAGGCTCGTTGTGAGCGGCCATCGCTACTGTTCCACCAAGACTGTTTACTGTTTGTGTCATACGTTAATCAGCGTTCCACTGAAATGTAGCAGCTTGGAACAAGTAGAGAAAGCAGGAAAAATCCACTCAGCTCCCATTTAAAAGGAGAGAAAAAAAGAAAAACAGGCCTCAAAAAACCTGGCAGCACACAGATCAGTTAAGGCGTACACTGTGCGATATTTTCAATCGTTGCACGCAGCTACAGCTCAGACTGTACGACCAAACCGCAGGCTTTAAAAGTTCCCAGCTCACCATGTTTGTTCTCACGCTGCAACCCGACGCTCTGATGCGATCTACCTGCTCACACTCTACGTCTAAAAACCAGGTGGGACTCAGCTCCGCAGTGAGATGGCGCTACTCGGACTCGTCTATCTGAAGCCAAACCAGTAGAAGAGGAACATGAAGCTCACTAGAGGGAAACGCTGAAAGTCGATATTCTCCCACCACTGGAAAATCGGCCCGAAAAAAACAAAAAAAGCGTACAGTTTACGCCCGGCTTTAGACTGATGTTAAGATTAGAGCATCTGTCTAAAAACTGCTGATCTCTAGTTTAAAGATGACTTCTTAAAACAATGAGAGACTAGAACCGTTATGATGAGCTAATTCTGTTATTTCTGTTCCAGAAGTGCCTCCTTTGATGTGGAACCCATCTATACGTTTAGGGCTCACATGTGAGTATCTCAGCTTCTTCTGCTTTCTCCTGATCGGACGGAAAAACGTTTGGTCGATAAAACAGCAAAACAAATGACTTTTTCAACCCTCATCATGAGTCGTTCAGAAACCTAATAATCCCACAGCATGGTGCTGCCACCGCCATGTTTTATTGTTGTTTGTCACTAGAGTTTATTTGTAACTAATTTTAATCTTGAAAATAAGTCTGGTTTCATCTGTATGTGTTTTGAAATGTTAGTTCTCTTCTTCCACTCTGGGAAAATGAAACTTTGCTTCAAAATGAAGCTGAACCACATTTTTAAGACTTGGACATGAGATTAAAAAGCAACAGCTGTCGTCGTTTTGTTGGATTGCTGCTAAAAGGGCAACTTTGTCTAAACTTTGAGCAAAAATAATCAGGTTCTGCCTCACATCACTGGTTAGAGTGTTGAACAAAAACATTTTAGAAATGATTAAGAAGTAGAAAGAATTATTCTGAGGTTGATTGATCTTATCGAACAACAAAAGCTCGGCTCATTTAAAATCTTGAGTTTTCTCGTGGATCAGTAGGAGCTTCCCATAAAGATAAAGGGTTAAATATTTTTTTTACAATATGCTGAGTTTTAAAAATAATAAATAATTATGCTGATGAGGATTCTGAGTCATCCAGGTCGTAGTCATTCTGTAAAAGTTTAAAAAATATCCACTGGACTTGGTTTCAAGATTTGAAGACGTTTCACTTCCCCTCCAGGAAGCTTTCTCAGTTCAAACGTCCTGATGACGTTTGAACTGAATTGAATTGAAAAAACAGTCCAGTGGATTGTTTTTAAAACTTTTACGGAAAAAGTAAATAATTATATTTAAAGTTTTTGGACCAATAAACACTAACTGAACAAAAAAAAAACATGTTTTCTTAAACTCCTCTAAACCTACAAGATCAATCAAAACAGGAACCTTTACTGAATATAGAAAGGAAAAATCACATCTGTGAACAGAGATGTAGATCTATCATTAATAGACGGGGTATGACTGATTACCGATGTTTCATTGAAGCGGATGCTAACTGAGCTAGCTCTCTGTTTTTAGTCTAATCCACCAATCAGAGCTGAGAGATTATAAACAGGCGGTTCTGCTCTGAATGTTCGAACTTGAAGGTCACTGAAGGTCATGACCTCATGAAGCTTTTCTATGTGCCATGCTAACAGCTAGCATGTTCCCATCGTTTAGCGTGAGGTCCTCCACTTTTCTCTCATCCTCTCCTGATCAGAGAAGTTCTGCTGCTCCTAAATGGGCCCATTGAGGAGAACTGAAGGAGTTTATCTGAGTTTAGATTCACTAAAAGAACCACAGGAAGTTTATCCTGGATCCTTGGATCCATTAAACAGTGGAAATGATCCAGAC